GTAGAGTTTTGACCCAGGATCATGGCATTCTGCAAGATTGTTGTGTGCAGGGTAAAGTAGATTGTGTTTCTGTGAAAAGTAAAAAGAGTCTCTGATAGGGATTTCCATCCCTGCCAGCAATGCTGGAAAACACATTGGTGAGGACCAGGCAAACACTTTCTCTGTGTTTCTCCGAATGAGAGAGGCACATTCCAAATCTGGACACCTCACTGGTGTTTCCAGGGCTCGTACCACACCTAGACTTGGCTCTTCAAATGCAAATTATCAGATGTTTGGGTAAGAAGGAAGATCAGTTTTGGTTCAAAACGTATCTCCTCCATGCTGCTTTGGTGTTCAACCACCTTTTGAACTACTCCTGTGCCAGCCCAGCCCTGTAAGCACAGAGTTTCTCTTGGTGAGTATTGACACTGAGCCTAAGTACCAAGACATCTGGAAACCCCCGAGCAGCAGCAGGCTGGCAGCTCAACCCATGTGCTGCAAAGGAAACCTATTCACCACCATCACCAATATTATTAATCAGCCCACGTTTGCTCAGACAGGAAATTGTTACTGACCACTTTAATTTTACTAAACAAATGAAACCACCCCATTACTCATTCAAATCTAATAAACCACAGAACACAGAGGAGGAAGCGAGCACTTGAAAACGGCTTGGAGAAAAGTTCTCACTTGGTTTTGCCATCTAATTAAAGCCAGGCTCTTTACAGGAAAGGGAATAATTAAATGGCAGCAACATGTGTGCTAGGAGAATCTTCTCCATCGGCATCTCAACATGCCACTTGCTACCGAAGGCAGAGGGGCTTTTCCTGCTGATCTTTACATTCCCATAGCGTTACCTGCTCTTCAGGAAGAAAAGACTTAGAAAATACATTGAGTACCAGAACAGATCTCTTCTGTCATGCCCTGTTGGGTGGTATGGGGCTTTGTTAAGAAGACACTTAATGCCTGCAGATGTTCAGAAAACAACTTCCCAAAGCTGGGCCCTGGAAAACACCTGGCATCCAGCTGTTTCATCAATGCTTTGGCATTTCCTGACCATCAAGCGTTTAAAACATCAACAAAATATCATTGCAGTTTTAATATTTGCAGTTCTAGAACTAGTTCAATACGTGATATGATTTGTATGCTTATGTAAATATTGCCTTTGCAGTCAGAAGGCAGAAAAAGCATGAATGTACTTGCACCACAGAGAGCGATTGCTGTAATTGTTTGCCTTTCTTCTCAACATCAAATTACTACTTTAAATGAAAGTAATTTCACAAACAGGCAGAAATGCTGTTTTTTTTCTTTTTTTTTGCTATGGGAATTCTTACTTCAGCATAAAAGCTGTGTGATGAAGCTTCATGTTTAACTGATTCTACCTGAAAGAAGACCTCATGAATGGGAATTATCCCTTTGTGGGTTTTTTTTGGCTCCTAAAAGATGGTTAAAGAAATAAAACACTGGTACCAGATAATTTCAGTAAAGGGCAAATACCATAGAATCATACAATCCTGGAGTGGTGGTTTGTGTTGGAAGGGACCTTAAAGCTCATCCAGTTCCAGCCCCTGCCACGGGCAGGGACACCTTCCACTAGAGCAGCTTGCTCCAAGACCCTGTGTCCAACCTGGCCTTGAACACTGCCAGGGATGGGGCAGCCACAGCTTCTCTGGGCACCCTGTGCCAGCGCCTCAGCACCCTCACAGGGAAGAGCTTCTGCCTAATATATAATCTAAATCTACCCTCTTGAAGTTTACAGCCATTGGCCCTTGTCTGATCATTAAATGACCTTTTAAAAAGTCCCTCTTCAAAATAGCACACAGAAACTTACACACCACATGTATTCGTAGTGCTGCAAAGGCCACGAAGGCATTTCCAAGCAGATACAAGTTTGTTCCTGTCTGTACAACACGTCCTCTTTGGGATTGCTGGTGTTTGGCTCCTTCATGCTCAGGGGGACAGACAGTCCTTCCTGATTTGGAGCTGGCGTCTCACCTGGTTTGCTGTACACAATCTACTGCAGCCTTAATCCAACACCCACGGGAAGGAAGTCAGCAGGAAGATGTATTAATTGCATTGCATATGAAAGAAGCCCACGTATTTGGTCCAGGATGAACTGGTGTCTCATAAGAGAAACATTTCTGCTACCATGCATGGGCCATGTTATCCGCACGATACTTGTATGGAGCCCTCTTCCCTTCCCCACCATGGACATGCAGCAAAATGGGATGCAATCTGCTCTACTTCCCATTCTTCAAAATATTGTCCCTACCACTTTAGTTACTCTTACTTAATTTGTTTTGCTCTTTGGAAGGAATTACAGATTTGACATCCTAGAAAACAGCTGTCATTTTTACAGGAAAAAAAAGTACGTGATTCATAATTTTCCAGAAATATGCACATTACGCATGTAGCATATTGGCACCTCCTGAAAACCACGCTAAATCTTGAAACTTGGACCGTATTGTTTCTGTTTCTCGGCTTTACATACCTGTTCAAACACACACCAAATCTCCCAGATCACAAGGAAAAAGTCTTTGCGCTCTCTCATTCCATCGCCGTTCTTGGGCTGAAAGGAATGTGGTTGCACCTCATGAAGAAAAGGGCTGAAAATGGTGCCATTTTGTGATGGCATTTTCCAGTGGCACAGAAGGTCCAAGCTGATGGAGTGTCAGGAGCTGTAGGACAGACCTTTTTGCTAAGCCAGAACATGGAAAGGAAGTTCATAAAGTAATTCTGATTCAGTGCTGAATTTCAGTAATAACTTTTTTCTTGCTTGGTTTTGTTTCCTCTTATCTATTTAAAAGCATCCTCAGCTCGCCTCACCAGGAGCCATGAGAGAAAACACTGGTAAAACCTGTATGTTGTGACCCTGAGGAAGGCTGGTAAGAACAGCAATGGAGAGGTCTCATGGCCAAGACGACCCTTGGCTCCATCTTTGTTCTTGTCATTTTGGGATGAGAACTTGCACATGTTGTACGGAGTGAAAAAACCCTCACAAATACTGGAAAAAAGAGTTAATAATTAAATACAGTGAGTGTTTCATAAGGTGCCAGTGGACACACTCAGTCTCAGAAGAAAGAGCCGGATGCTTTGAATAATGCATTCTTCAGAACCTTCAAAATTATTTATGAAGTGCATGTAAGGACAGCAGTAGTCTATCCACTAAGCTAAAAATGGCTTGCTGTCTGTCCTCTACTTTTTAGCATCATTCGCAGGATACCTTGTACCATAAGGTGTACCACCAGAGCTATTTTATACATGCAACAGGGAAGTAAAAGCTTTGCAGTTCAGAGGTTGTTTAGAAGCTTCTTCTGGCCCAAATCTCACCAGCACTTCAAGGCACTTTGTAAGGATGCAATGCAAAAAGCAGTAATCACAGAACCTCAGACTGGTTTGTGTTGGAAGGGACCTTAAAGCTCACCCAGCTCCAACCCCTGCCACAGGCAGGGACACCTTCCACTAGAGCAGCTTGCTCCAAGCCCCTGTGTCCAACCTGCCCTTGAACACTGCCAGGGATGGGGCAGCCACAGCTTCTCTGGGCACCCTGTGCCAGCGCCTCAGCACCCTCCCAGGGAAGAGCTTCTGCCTAAGAGCTCATCTCAGTCTCCCCTCTGGCAGGTTAAAGCCGTTCCCCTTGGCCTGTCCCTACATCCCTTGTCCCAAGCCCCTCTCCAGGTTTCCTGCAGCCCCTTCAGGCACTGGAGCTGCTCTAAGGTCTCCCCTTCAGGAGCCTTCTCTTCTCCAGGCTGACCCAGCCCAGCTCTCTCAGCCTGGCTCCAGAGCAGAGCTGCTCCAGCCCTTTGATCATATTTGTGTTTCAAGGAATAACCTCCAACATTTTCTATTTCTGTTCTGCAAATGATTCTCCCATCTCACTGTCTAGATCGATGCCACCCTAACATCCTGTGTTACTACGTATTATTAAGACAGTGGCATTTCCTTGCTCTGAAGCTGTACATTCCTATCGCTTCTTGCAGAAGAATAACTTTGGTGTAAGTAAATAGCAGCCTTCAAAGGGAGATTTCACTGCCGAGCTGTTTAACCTGGCTTGCTGCAGCTCTGGAAGTCCCTGAACACTCAGTGCCAACAAAGCAGTTTCTCACCAGTTTTTCCCTACAGATCCCTACCCAGCTGTGCTTTCAGTGAAGGGGACAAGGGAGCCCCATCTAGGGCTGGTTTCCCTCTGTAAATGCTTTTTTTGCCACCCCTGGGCTGCAGGAGCCTGTGAGGGCACCCCAGCAGCACAGGTAACAGGTTTACCAACACAAGAACCTCTTTATGCAAGTGCTGAGGCTCCTCTTCCTCTCCCATCACCTCCATAGCAGTTACAAGGAGTGATGGCATGATGGTCTGTAGCCTTTAAACAAAGAAAAACCACCAAGCCCCAACTTTCAGAGCATTTTTGGAATCCTTTCCAGTGAACCTCATCCTTCATGTTTGCTTTAACAATTGTTTAAGCAGTTTTTGCTTGCTTAAGCAACTAGATTTATATCCTGGGTCAGTAAATAAACCTGTAACTGTGCGCTTTCCTATAGTTACTTCTACCATGATTATTGCAACATAAAACAAGTAGGGGAAAAATCACATGAGCACAAAGAAAGCTCATGTCTTTAATGGGAAAGATCAGAAATTACAGATCTGGCTGGATGGACCCATGCTTAGCTCCAAGATTTAGGTTTAGAAGCATCTCTTTAAGCAAAATGATGTCCAAGTTAAGAATGTAGATGATAAAATATGAACCCAGAAAGTCTGTGGGTTAGATTTCACAGAGATTTGGCTGGAGCTGCTGGATCGAGGAGCTCTGTCTCCTCTGGTTTAGACATTACACAGCAGAGCTTGTGACTTTTCCTCTGTTCTGGAATGCAACTTTGCCATGAATACTGGTTCTAACTACAAGGTGCAAAGGGATCTTTGAAAATACACTTTTACACTGTCCACCTGTGTCCAGAGCAGGTAAGAGTTTAGATGGAAAGTGCCCCCCTGCCCAGCAGGAGCTGTGCTGCACACAGAACTGGAACTGGGACTTCAAATCTTTCCATCTGAAAATAGGAGCTGGTAAGGTTTAAATCACAAACACACAATAAAACGTACTTGAAATGAGTCCATGTAAACGAAGGGATTGAAAAACAGCTCTGTATCTCTGTCCTATTTCCCTTTCCAGGAAGGAACATCTCTTGGGTAATCTAAAAACAAAACAAAGTAGCAGAAAAACTTTACTTAACCTCAAGCTAATTTCCTATCCGGCCTAAATTTAGCTGTTTAGGTCTTGTTTGGTGTGTGTGCCTCCCAATGTACCCACTCTGAGGGATGTTTGCCTAAAGCAACTGTTACAGCACCCTGGTTAAAGCCGGCTGGTTGAATTTCACGTCTTAGCATTAATTTCTAACACGAAATGTCACCGTGTGTCTGGAGACAGCAGAGCTGATGGCTGGAATTGCGCTCACTGGAAAAGCCCAACCACCCACATAGCAAACAGCTGCTGGGAACTGCCTTCCAGTGGCTCCTATCTCGCAACAAGGAGGCAAGAGGGTAAAAACGTTATCACAAAAGCTTCTCCACGCTTGTTTTGACACAGACAGTCATTAATTCAAGGAAGATCAAGTCCGGGACCAGCCCAAAACACTTGGGTTATTTTTCCGTGAGTCAAGAGTTATACTCAAAACAAAAATTAGCCTACAAATACCAAGGCCACGCTGGTGCAGTGAGCATTTCCCAGCACAGGTCACTGCTGCCAGCCTCCCGCTGCAGGAAAAGAAGTGATCTGACAAGTGGTTTGGAATGTGTTTAAAGCTTGATTCATTCCATCTGTTGCTGTCTTTCTAGAACCTTTAATTTTAAGGGCAGAAGTTATTTGTACTGCTGGAAGCTCAAGGTTTATCAATTCTGGAAGGAGGATAAAACAGTAACAAGTGCATTTAGAAACTCAAATTGAGAGCAAGAGGTCCTTCTGGATGTAAGGGTATGGAGAAGATGGAGATCACAGCAAAGTGCTTCTCATACCTGACTGAGGATCACATTGTCTTCGTGGTGTGAGTCTTTCCAGGGTAAGGAGGTACCAGGTTACCAAACTGTCACTGGAATGATGACTAGGTAGTGCTGCTGCTCACCTCAGTTCAGTGACACTGGAGGAAGAAGAGAAGACAAGAAACTATTTTTAAGCATGTGAATTAGAAAATAGAAATAAATCACAAGTAAAAGGTAATGCCTTTATTAAAGTACTGCTTGAAGTTAATGTTACAACAAACTCTGTCTTTGACCCTGTCCAAGTGAAGTGATTGAAATGGAATGAGAAATGCATCCACAGCCTGGCTAGAAAGGGTCATTTCAGGCACGTTCCTGCATCACATCCCCGACAAATACCCTTTGGGCTGCCCTGCCACATCCCCCGTGGCACAGGTTCACAGGCTCAGCACTGCTGCGCAGGTTGTTTCTGCTGCTGCTTGGTTTTCCAGCTTTCCAGCCCAGCATTCAAGGTCCCTGTTTTGCTACAAACCAGAATCTGAACGCCTGAAATGAAATAGCAAATAAACTGAGTGGCACAGATGTCTTTTCCTGTTGTGCTGGAAGGAGCACTGTGAGGCACTGGCACAGGGTGCCCAGAGAAGCTGTGGCTGCCCCATCCCTGGCAGTGTTCAAGGCCAGGTTGGACACAGAGGCTTGGAGCAAGCTGCTCTAGTGGAAGGTGTCCCTGCCCGTGGCAGGGGGCTGGGACTGGATGGACTTTGATGTCCCTTCCAACACAAACCAGCCTGGGGTTCTATGAGCAGCACTTGGCACAGGCACATGCACTGTGATACTGAGTATCCCACTGTTGTCAGAGAAATATTTTTTCTTGTTCTTTTTTTCTTATTTGTAGGTAGAAAACATTAGAATCAAAAATTAAATTGCATAAACCACCCTTGTTAAATTTGACCTGTATTTTCTTCATGAAATGCAAGGTACATTTAAGATTTTGCTGTTCATAGAACCCTAGATCCTTAAAGCTCACCCAGTTCCAATCCCCTGCCACGGGCAGGGAGACCTTTTACTAGACTAGGTTGCTCCAAGCAGCATCCAACCTGGCCTTGAGCACTACCAGGGATGAATTGTCTGGGCTGTAAATGAAAGGAAAGCTGTACTACACATAATGCCAGCAATTTTGCCTTCTGTAATCATTAACACTCTTTCCCAAGTCCTTAGTTGCTTTACTTTGCTCTTTTTATTGATATGAGATTGCAAGGCCCTGTCTGATTTACGTACCTGTATAGCCTCTGTTAGATGAATGGGACTGTGTCAGATGCAAGCCAGGACTGAAGATGGTTTAAGATTGTTTCCACTCTTAGAGCAGTCGCTTCTCTTTCTCTCTCTGTCATTAACAAAGAAACACAATTATAGGCAGAACAAGGAGCAGCAGCTTGTTACTAGTAGGAAACAATCTGGCAGAGATCTGTGGCAGTTGATTCAGGACTGGGTTTGGAGTTAAGTGCAGGTGGTGTCAATGACTTAAAAGAAAAGCTATAATACATAACTAAACTTTTGTCTAGGAGTTATGAATAGGAAACACGCGATGCGAGATAAAGAAGTCTCTCAGCTGGCAGAAAGTGCTAGAGATCACAGTGACACTGAAGTTATCAACCCATGGTGCTTAGATGGCACTCAGCAAAAAAGGAAATGTATTTTCTCTGCTATTTCCCCAAGTAGTTGTGAGAGGAGCAAATCAACATCCGCACAAAGCAAAACCGACTGTTTCTGATGCAACTTCCCATATGTTTTCAATCAGAGTTTTCCATATGGTGCCTTTTGCTGGTGCATTTTAAGGTGATTTAAATGCTCTGATTACAAAGAATGCTTATCTATATATGTATTTATGGGTCGGCTGACCACTGCCACTGCCACAGCTGCTCAAGGAAATGAAAGACTGATCATTTTGTTGTCCACGTGGCTCTGCATCCACGGGTCCTGGAAACACAGGTAGTATTTTGCAAAGGGCTCATTACAAATGAGGAACAAGCTGTAGTTCCATCGTATCTCCTCCTCCCCTGTGTTCTGAAAGGTCACCGTTGGCTGGGCCCCCTTGCAGCTCGGCTCAGAAAGTGGTGAAGGAACTCAGAAGTTATTTTTCCCACCAAAAGAAGAAAAAAGAACAATAGTGCACCACTTCCATTTTCTGAAGAGGAAACAGTGATTTGTCTCAGCCGTGCTACTGCCTGGGAACTCAGCAGCCTTTGGTAACAAAGGAGTTAAACAACAAGTTCATCTTAACGCTGGGGGAAAACATGTTTGAATTGCTCCTTTCCTGGGTAAGTAAGCATTAATGCTTCCAAGCACCTTTTCTCTTTGAGGTGCGCTGTGGCTTGGCTGGTTTTTATTGACTTCCACCTCAGGCCTCACACAAATCAAGTGCCACACCTGAAAGATGCAGCCACGCTGGAAAATCTCAGCCGAAGGAAAACAAGGACCGCACTGAAACGCTCTGAAATTCAGCCTCCTGAGCAGACGTGGATCCCAAAGCACAGCTTAATTGCATTATGTGGGCTTGCCCATCCAGTGAGCTGTGGAAACCCAGACGAGCATCCAGCAACTGGGTTTTTCACTGTGACCTTTTAAAATCTTGCAACAGCAAAAGTGTCACTGGAAAAGCCCCAGATCCTCTTTTTCTCTTTTGTTCTGAGCCAGCTCCTCCAAACCATACTGCTAAATAGCACTCCAGGTCTAAACGCAGATCTGTTCTGTCGCCTTAGCACGAAATTCTATACAAAAGCTGTGATTTTGATGAGTTTCTGCCATTATTTACTCTTTTCCACCCAGAACCTCAGACCCTCACATCTCAGACAGTAACAGTACATGTGCTGATGATGGCCTGGTCCCTCTGGATAGCATCGCCTCTCCTCGTGTGGTTATCACAACTAGACATAAGGGAAGGTACGCACAAAGGCACATTAAAATATGGAAATGGGTTAAGACTACTCCAAAAGGGCACTTGTTCAGCCTTAGATCAGCCTCACATCAATCAGCCCAATAAAGTGCAACTCCATGATACTACTTTTCCTTTGTCCTATGTGACACCTGCCTGTTTCCCTGCAATGGATGGACCTTGTCTGGGCATGGACCTTGCTTAATCTTGCTTAGGATTACCTGTAACGATTGGTGCCTTACATAGTTTGAGTTAACCAATTCCCCACAGATTCACCAGTTATTAATGGTCACCTTCATGGAGACCTCTGATTCAGAGCTCCAGAGCTGTCATTAACTTGTTCTACCTAGGATTAGCTGCAGTTGTCAAACAAACAAAACTCTCCATACCTCTAAATCCTCTGACAGAGCCGCAGGTCCGAGGCAGCATCTAAGCAGAGGAGGTGGACACTTCTGATTCATTTCTGTCCTTGTTACCCTGAGGAGCTGAATCTTCACACCTCAGATTGGTGTGAAAGTACGTTATTGATAGACATCTGCGATGTTCACTGGGCAAGACTGAGATGAGAAGTATCATAAACCTGATGGTGACAGTAAGTATCATGATCTCAAAAAAGTGCTTAACAGCATATTGCAAGAGGCAGTAGGCAACCAGAAGACAGAATGTGCGAACACCTCCTTTTTGAGCTCTGCCACAGGGGTGTAATGACAAAATGGTTCTTCAATTACTTATTATAAGACTTTATAATAATGTTTATGCCTGATTTAAGATTGCTTAGGAAGTTTTAACCCTGTCATTTCATTGTTTTTGTGGACCTGACTTTGCCAGTCGAGTAAATTCTTCCCTGTAATGTGCATCCTGTACTCACAGAGCGTTTGATTGGAGCCAACTGTTGGCTTTACAAAGAAAGCTGTGTGAAAAGTCTGTATTTCTCACTGCAGTAACAATGAACAAAACCCCAGCTCGCAGGTAGCAATATATACGCTGTTCTACGCATTGTTCACGTTCTGAAAAGGAAGAGGAACGGGGCTGGGCTGCTTCAGAAATGACAGAAATGCCATTGAGATCTCATTTCCTGTGCAGGGGCTTGTGCGAGCTTCTGTTGCTGCAGTGCTACGTGGGTTTGAATCATAGAATGGTTTGGATTGGAAGGGACCTCATCCAGTTCCAACCCCTGGCATGGGCAGGGACACCTTCCACTGGAGCAGCTTGCTCCAAACCCCCTCCAACCTGGCCTTGAGTACTGTTGTGATTTGTATGGTCTTATACATCCTCCCAAAATCACTCAGTCAGGAGCAAGAATACTAAAAATGGGCTTGCTTTTAATTAGAAAGAGCCCTAACAGCTCAAGCAGATTGAGCTGAGAACAGTCCCTTTGAATGGGGAGCAGAGATCTTAGTACTCTTGATGGTGAGTAGAAGAGACCTCAGGACACCTCTGCAGCTAGAACAGCCTCAGTGTGCCTGGTAATTCATCCCTGATGTGTCCAATGATGGTCAACAGGCCCCTGGTCTCCTTGCCTCAAGCAGTGCAGCATATGCCCAGTTGGACATCAAACCCTTCTGAAGAAACTGTTTAAAGTAGTCTCAGCCAAGCAGACATAGGAAAATGTTAGATGCTGTTTGCCTGCTGGTTGTACACACTGCCTTCAGGATCATTAATCAGACTCCAAAAATGGTGGGATGGCTTAAGATGTTGTTTGTAAATTATAATCTAGGGGCTCTGCTGGTTTAACTCTGGCTTCCTGTGATTCGAGGTATTTTAGGATGGTACATGGTGATCTTGTTGCTTCCAGGGAGCGAGGCTTTAAAACCCATTCTTCCTCCCAACTAGAAATCATAGAACTTGTGAAGAAATTGCAACTTGGCAACAAAGCACAGATATTGGGTGGCTTTTATGGGATACCACTGATAGCTTCTACTTCCCTCCATCCGCTTGCATCCAGCATAGAAAGGCAATTTCATTGCACCCAGTCTTATGGTTACAAGAGCATTAGTCACATCAGAAATGCCACTTGCAAAGTAGAAACCCATCTTCAAATGCAGAAGCCCTCCTGGAAGCACAAACAGATAATGTTCACTTCAACAAAGAGAAACTATTCTGAGCAATATTTTATAGATTTCTAACTATACTGGGGCCTCCTCTGGGAGATTAATCTAATCTTCTCTTCCTCCCCTCCCACCAGAAGTGATGGCCACCATAAAAGAGACCTTCTTGATCCCAGATGTGTTCCATTTCCTGCAGTAAAAATTGAAGTCATTGCCCTTTTCATACGTCTCTGCCAAGGATGGAGATGCACTGCTTTACTTAGGAACTTTCTGCAACTGCTTTAGTTCCAAATGAATAAATCATTAGGATTTGATGAGCTAGCCAGCATTTTCTAATTTGTTTCTACTGGCAGAAGCGCTGCAGCGAGTTACATCCAAACAAACTCGGTGGCAGCATCAGCTTTATTATGACCTAAATGTCTAAATCTAATTTAAGAATGCGACTTGCAAAGGGTTCAAGCAAGGCTTTCAGAGCTTGGTCCCACTTTTATTTTCACTCCTTTAAGTGAAAAGCTGATTCATGGCATTTATGTAGTCTTTGTATTCTGTTAATGTACGGACCCGCAGCGGAGTCCTAACCCAAGCAGAGCTGAGACCCATACACAGTCATGCATGGGGCAAGACCCCCACATGTTTAGAGAAGCTGCTTGTGATAGAGATGGAGGAGGATCAACCCTTCAAAGCCACAAATCATTTAACATGGTGGGAGGCAAGGCTGTAGGAAGAGAGAATATATTTCAATAGCTCACCTGAAAGCATTGAAGAAAAAAGGGCAAACCTTCAGCAGTTGTATAGCTCAGGAAATCCTGTCTCCAAGCAGCCTGTTATTGCTTTTGATCCCAGAACTGACCTTTCCAGGTACATTGTACAGGTAGCAGTGGTTAGGTTTCAGCTCTTTGGCTTCCAGGAGGATTTTGGCGGATTTTGCTGGGCTGCTTTCAGGGTCCATCCATTGGGCTGGAGTTTAGGCAAATGGCACTGCTGTAATTGTCTGGCAACTGCAAACACTTACATAGAATAAAGAATGGTTTGGGTTGGAAGGGACCTTAAAGCTCATCCAGTTCCAGCCCCTGCCACAGGCAGGGACACCTTCCACTAGAGCAGCCTGCTCCAAGCCCCTGTGTCCAACCTGACCTTGAACACTGCCAGGGATGGGGCAGCCACAGCTTCTCTGGGCACCCTGTGCCAGCGCCTCAGCACCCTCACAGGGAAGAGCTTCTGCCCAAGAGCTCATCTCAGTCTCCCCTCTGGCAGGTTAAAGCCATTCCCCTTGGCCTGTCCCTACAGGCCCTTGTCCAAAGCCCCTCTCCAGGTTTCCTGCAGCCCCTTTAGGCCCTGGAGCTGCTCTAAGATCTCCCCTTCAGGAGCCTTCTCTTCTCCAGGCTGCCCCAGCCCAGCTCTCTCAGCCTGGCTCCAGAGCAGAGCTGCTCCAGCCCTCGCAGCATCTTCATGGCCCTCCTCACCTGCAGTTAATATCCTTTAAAATGCCACTAACGAGAAGACCTCCACAAGATCCTCCTTAACCTTTTTGCTGGGGCTCTTCCAGCTGTCCCTGATGGAAGTGGCTCCTGGGGCTCTGCCCCTGGCGATTGGATCAGATTTTGGTTGCCAGGTTTTGGTCTGATTTGCTCTTTTATCATCTGGAATTGGTTTATTCCAAATTTGGGGTTCTGAGCTTAGGTGGGCTTTGGTGCCCAGGACTGCTTTGTTCATGTATATCCATATGTTTTCCACATCGAGGTTATATAGGCATTTAAAAAGTGCCTTATTATGTTGTATTGTACACACATTAAAGAACATAAATTCACAGACAATACCATGTTTCTGAGTCATATGAGAAAATACACTCCTGAAGAGTATTTTAAATAATTAAGGTATCATTCTAGAGTAAAATTAAACACATTAATAATGCTGATAAAATGTAAAATCAGTGTCAAAAGGGATTGTTACTGTATATAATGTAAAGAAGCCACGAAAGAGCATGTTTAGTGTCTTGAATCACATTGTAGCTTTGGTCTTATGTTTTAGGGATTTCACTGTATGATTTCCTCTTCTTTTAAAACTGGTGGTAAAAACACATCTCGGGTCAAAATAGTAAATAATGAATCACCCACAAATTCAGCTCATTTCCTATCTCTCGCTGCAAAAATGTTGATTCCAGGCATGGGAGCAGAGCTTGGAGCCAAACAGTAATTTCTTTATGGTGTGCGTGACTCATAGGAAAGAACGCCTCATGGGGATAGCAGCAGAAAGAACCAAATAGTAAGAATAAAAACCCATAAGTAAACTTGCTTTAAAGGAACAAGCATCAAGTAAAGGGCAAAAGGGCAGAAAGGGCCCTCTCAGCTGTTTTTGCATTGCTTCTGTGGTCTTGACGGCGTCCTCCAGTTCCTATGCCCTGAAATGTGGTCACCCTTCCCTAGCTGCTCCCCACTATCAGAAGGGGCAACAGCCCAAGGAGGAAAGGTTTGTGGCCCCATGGGATACGTCAGGGTCAGCCCAAGCTCCTCAGCTGGTTAAGGAAGCCCAGAATCAGACTTATGGATTCATTTACAAGGCACCGGGAAGAGATGTTTTGTTTTCAGTGCATGTCCATAGGTTGTCCATGGTGTGAAACCCTGGGAGCTGACCCCATGAGTTATAGAATCATAGAATCATGGTTTGGAAAGGATCTTAAGATCATCCAGTTCCAGCCCCCCTGCCATGGGCAGGGACACCTCACACTAAACCATGGCACCCAAGGCTCTGCCCAACCTGGCCTTGAACACTGCCAGGGATGGAGCATTCACAACTTATGTGGCAGTGATCCATGGTGGGGTGCAGGGCCAGCAGATAGCATCTATTCTTTTGGGGTCTTTAATGTCCAATACCTTTTTAGTAACCTTAAGTGTCTCTTTTGCATTACTCTTTCCTTACTCACAAATGTGAATTTTTATCCTCCTCCATAGTTGCCTTGTGATCTCTTGATGGGCCTTTAATTATTACAAATATACCTTGCCCCCTCTGGGATGTATCTCCTAACTCAGGCAGATTTATTCAGTGGGGTAGATCGATATTCATCCAGCCTATTTCATGAACTGATTGTGAAATGAAACAGAATCAACTCAGCTTTCAGCAGCAATATCTCACCTGATTTCATCCCTTTTCCATTTATTTTTTGTTCCCAGACTGCTAATGGATGATTAACTCCAACAAGTATTGCCGTGTACATTTGCATAATTATTTATGAGTAATTAAAACATCTTGCCTCCTGTTCCAGAGTCAGTATCACGTGGCCAGGAATGCAAAACGAGACAGTGATGCAATGTTAAAATGTAGGGTAGCTTGTTCCTGTAGGGTAACTACATGCTTCTTTAATGTCACGTAGTTAAAGCTGTGCTCAGGACCAATTAATTTCAGCCTATGAAGACTAAGAAAATGCTTTGTATTATCTCAGTGCAGATCGTTCCCGTCTCCCACGCGTCGTAGGAGCTCTCAAAAAAATGCAATTCAGGTTCCAGCAAGATATAATTTGGGGCCTGAGGCTAATTTCCTGTTGAGCACCTTTCCTTCGTAGGGATGCTCCTGCAATGGGCATTTCTATGCTGTGGTTGCTATAAGAAATAAACCTGTTTTCTCTGGTTGTCTGTGAATACTTGAAAGATGAAATAAAAACGTGCACTTTTGAGCACTTATTTAAGAGGTAGTTGTTGAGGATGTAGGAAAGCATATTGCAAAATTGAAATCTGTGGTTTAAAAGCAGCTTGAATTGGAATTGAATTAATTTCTTTCCACTCAAATTCACTTTCTTACCTGCTAAAATACAGTAGAAGTGTTTCATAAGCTGGATTTATCTGGACAGCTGGATTTATCCCTAGGAAGATCCCACCAGAGAGTTGTTTTCCGTAGGTGTAATTCACGGAGTAAATAACCTGTGGGAACAAAAGATTTGTTAATAAAAGATTGGCATAAATGATCTAGTCCATATTACCATGCAGGGAGAGATAAGCCATAAGCCACCATTTCCAACCATGATACATTCAGAAATGGTAGGAGGGGAGTTATAGGCTGGATATTTGGGAAATCCTAAGACTGTATGTCCACAGTGACTCTTGCCCTGGGAGGTGTAATATGGATCAAAGGACTGATGTCTTGCCACGCGTCTACTTATTGAAGGTTCCATCTAAAATACACTTACTGTTGGACACCAAACTCTCCAGCACCGAGTAGCTTCTCACAGACCACAGGTGAGACATCCTGGTTCTGGGTTGCCTTGTTTTGACTTGGCTGCAGGGGTGACAATGCCGTCTAGAAGACACTGAAAGAGCAAGGGTAGCAAACCTTTCGTTTCAGACAGAATTGGAGCAGCAGCACTCATACCACCCCCTTGGTGCCCATGGCAGCACTAGAAACTCATTGACCACCCACCAACCTTCAAGCTTATTGAGTCCAGAAGGCTATTTCATAGACACACAGAATGGTTTGGATTAGAAGGGACCTTAAAGTTCCAACCCCCTGACATAGGCAGGGACACCTTCCACTAGAACAGGTTGTTCCAAGCCCTGTCCAACCTGGCCTTGAACACTGCCAGGGATGGGACAGCCACAATTTAATCAGGTGTCCTGATCAAAATGATTAATACATCAGATTACTACTGTGCCTTCATAGATACTAGAGACATATTGTCCTTGCTTGCTTATTAAATTGTGTTTTCCTCCAGTATAAGAAATAATTTCTGGTTTACATATGGCAGCCTGATTAATAGGGAGGAGAAAAGTGATAGATGATTTGTGCATTAGAAGGCAAAGGAAAGCAGCTGGAATAGTGAGACTTACACCATGAGTTGCCGAGGGCGAGAGGATTCCAGATTAGCCAGGAAGGAAGAGTGCGGACTATGGGTGATGCATTTTGGCATCAGAAGGATACTGGGAACTGCAGAAGAGAGGTTCTGACACAAGCTCAGGCTGCAGGTGATGAAGTGCTAGGAGCTCTGTAGTCCATATCCAGCCCTAACTCAAGAGGCAGAAACCAGGGAACTCATCCGATCTGGAGCAAGCGAATTCTCTGTGTGAGCAGTCTCAAGCCAGAAGACAGAAAATATCCCCGGATGAGCACAGGGAAACCAAGCCTTGCCAGAGAAACCCTACGTGCCAAGGAGACTGCTCCAAAGGTGAGCGTGTGTGTGGAGGACTCCAGTGGCCGCGGGTGTTTGTGATGACAGCTGGTGTCAAGGAAGAAGAACTGATTTTTCCAGTGGAAAAGGCGACGTCAGGATGAGTTACATCAGAAGTTGGGAAAAGCAGACTTTGTAGTGGAGGAACCTGACAGGAACAGCCGCGTGTTTATGGGTTTGCTTAACACTTGGTGGTAAAATTGGAGCATTTGGGCTGGGGAGGAGAAGACAATCGATATAACTGGTAACTGTCACCTTAAGAGTCTGAAAGAAATGGTAACCTCTGCAAAAGGAGGTAAAGGGGGATGCACAGCATCTATAGACAACATATAGGCGTTGGGTCCCTTTGAATTAAACATCTGAACTGTATTTGCCTGTGACTGCAGTAACCCACGCTTGCTGCCTTGAGTGGATCATGGGATGGCAAGAGACCCACAGCCCTCATTACAGTGAAGGAACAGAGGGGCTGGTAAATGACATAGGTGGACTTTAGCATCAGTCTTCACTTGGGTATCACTGAGATCAATGAGGATGCTGCATTGCACTTTTGATAAAGTTTGACTGCCTACCCTTTCATTTCAAGTTTGTTAACATGCATGTGAGTATTACACATGGATTAGGGGGTGGCTCTTGTTTACCAGGACTTGGCCTGTGTTTATCTATCAAGACCATTCTCATTTTACTGACTTTCAGATCCTCATTACATATTAAAAG